GAAAGTTCAAAATAATGAAATTTTATAAACTACGCATTGAATACTAGAAAGAAAAGGTCATGGGGACACCCGTGTGTTTGAGACACGGAGGGGAGAGACCGGGAGAGACAGGGAGAGACAGACGTAAATAAGACTGAAAGACTTTACCGAATCTTAAATTACTTCCTCCAATGAATAAATCAATCACTACTCCGGTCAAATTGAGAGATTACTTTTTAGCTAAACCTGGTCTATGCATTAATTATAGGTATGACACATGGAAAAAAAGTTTTTTTTTTTTAAAGAACAGAAATGGAAAATGTATAAGTGTATGTATCATTTCTTTTCTAAAAAACATTTTTCTACCTATTAAAAAAGCACTAAACATTTCTTCTCTCGAATTTTCATAATAATAAGAGGGTAAAAAGAAAAAGGCATGTTAAATTCTCACAAATTATCAAAAACACATTTCTAAAAAAAAACATGTTATTTTTTCATGGAAATAATGCAACAACTACTTTTACTAGTATGTAAAATATAATTTGGAGTGTATTACAGTTTGGACCGGTTCGTGAAAGTATATAATAAAAACACACCACACCATCCTTAATTTTAACGTTAGTTTATTAATTGTATATAATATATAAGAGGATTTGGACGCCACCCGTTCCAGGCTATATCAAAAAAGAGACAATGGTGGTGAGAGACTATCATGCACAAATATGAAAAAAATGAATCAGACACAATACATATATTTGTAATAATCCAAAAAAAATAATAATAAAATATTTTAAATTATTTATTATCTGAATATATTTCTTTCTCTTACTCGATTTTTCCAGATCTGTGAGGAGAGAGAAGAGCTCATTCGTCCACTTCTTCATCTTTCCCCTGCACTTCGTCTCTTCCCTTCCGTTTCTACTGGTCGCCGGTGAAGGTGGAAGCTCGCTGCAGCTGTGCACGCCCAAAGCTTCGTCGTGCTTTCTGTCGCTGTCCATCTCCTTCGTTTTTGTTCAGTTCTCGTCGTTCACGCATGCGTTGTTGATGGGTGTGAGAATCAGGTCGCCGGTGTTGTAAACGCGTGCTGCGGTCTTCCACTGCTAGAAGCTCAGGTCGTGAATCCATGGTCCCTAAATTTTCCGTCGATCTCTGTATTTTTTTGTACTGTTTATGCTGTTGAATCTTCTTTCTCCTTCATTCCTTCTAGCTGTGAGTGATTAACAAGTGAAGAGCTAATTTGATGCTGTTGGAAGGCTGATTCGTGGGTAAGAGGCTGTTCAAGGTTATTTCTCCTTCCCCTGTTGGGTTAAAGTTTTTGTTCCTCCCTTAGCTGTGCGTGTTTCGCTGAATATTGAGGTGAGGAGTTTCGATCTCTTTTCTGTTGTTATGTGCGTCTGATTCTGGGCTGAAATGGTGAAACATCATGAATTTTCCTTGTTTCTTCTGCTACCCATGAATGTTATAAGGTTGGGAGTTTGTTTCTTTGGGTATTAAAGGGAAAAAAAAAAACTTATGCATTTGTGTTGAAGAACTGAAATTTAAAAGGCTGTCTTGTTTTAAATATGAATATTAGTAAAATTTAGGGAATAAAATTTGAAGAAAGGAAGCTTGGTATTAGTAAAGGAATTTATGCCCATGAGATACTTGTTAAAATGCTTAAAAAGAAATGTTTTGTAGAGTGATGGAAGTTAAAGGATATGATTGTGTTATTGGAAAATCAATTGTTATGGAAGCTAATTACCATCAATAAAGAAAGTTAAAAGTGAAAGTTGAGGTTTATTTGTGATGATGATGATGATGTGAGTTTCTGTTCTAATTGAGATTGGAGTTGGCCATAAAAGTTTGATTATGAAGATATTAAGTAGTTAGTTGAGTTCTTTGGAAATAATGTACTTCTAGTATTTTGACAAAAAGTCTAATATGAGATAGTATTTAACCGAGCATTGAGCTATGGCTTGGATAGATTTTTATATGTAGAGTCCCAATTTTTTTTTAATTTCAAATAATTTCAAATAATGATAGCAAAATTTTGATAGTGGTAATATTGAAAGGAAATTATTGAATTTATTGAAAGTTTATTTGAATTCTTAACATGATTTTTAGGGTGTTTGGAAAAGGAAAAAATATGTGATTAAAGCTTAGAGGGAAATTTTGCATTTTGAAATTTTCAGGTAAGTGGATAACGTCCCAAATAATTTATTAGCAAAGTTTCTTTTTATCAAGGATATTGATTTCAATAATTCACAATTTTATTTATTTATGTATGTGTGTATATGTATATATTTCATAAGCTTTGATTATTTTTATTGATTAAATAACTCTATTTTTTGAAGTCATGTTATTTGCTTACAACATTGATCAATTGTTTTTTTTTTACAAGTTCTAGTAATCCTTTATTTGACAAGGACAATCATGAAAATTCTTGAAAGAGTTTGTATGTTTTTTTTTTCATTAAAAAGAACGGGTGTTTACATAATTCATGCGAGTCCGATATGGAGGAGAGAAAATTTTAATTCAATAATGATTATTTTCTCGCATGTTTGAAATTTAATTTTCAAAGGGACTTTAGACAGAACACTGGTTGCTAGCGGCAGTTCCGTTAGCCCTTGGCATGCCATAGTCAAATACTAGCTAATTTGGGTTTGTGAGCTTTGCTCTCACATTTATTATTCGTGGGTCTTGTACCTGCGTCTGTTTCGTGGCTTTAACCAAGTTTGATTAGTTACCCTCGTGGACTATGTGTCTACGTCTGTTTCATGGCTTCGCCTGCGTTTGGTTAGTATTACCCTAGTAGACTATGTGTCCACGTTTATTTTCGTATCATAAGTCGCGTTTAGTGATTTATCCTCGTGGACTGTATGTCCACATTTGATACTTGTTCTGATAAGTCTCCATACTTATGAGTTTTAAATTTTTATGGATCTATTTTTATTGGTTTTGATTAATGACATGTTTACGATTATTTATTACAATTATTTGCTTTATTAAAGTTAAATAATAATGACATTTGATAAGATACTTTTATGAACTATGATGTTATTGAAAGTTACATATAACCCTTTTATTTTGAATTTATTTAAATCTTCATGGAGATCATTATATTTTCAATTTTTCCTTTTATTCGTGCTTAATTATTTATTATTGGGACATTATTCACTGAAAAATAAATTTTTGGTCTTAGATAGTGTAGCTGACGCTGAACCACCCACTAACCATTGAAGAGTTTGTGATTGATTAGAAGCAGAGGAGCTAAGGATTAAACTTTCTCTTGACATAAAGTTTTTAATTATGAAATTTTATTTTGTAAACTTATTGTTAGGTACTCCACATAGTCTGTGGTTAGATTGTTTATGTAGTTATATATTTTGTCTATTGGCTGGAAGGAGCTCTACTCCTGATTGGCTTGATATTTTTGGTTGAAATATTGTGTTGTAAAATTTTTGAGAGTTTTTATTTACAGAAAAAATTTTGCCGAAATTTCTACCAAAATAATGAGACTTTTATTATTACCAAAAATGTTTACGTATGTTCTAATTCAAACTCAAACATAATTATCTTTTAGTTATGAAACAATTACCCAATCCGAGGCTTAAAGGATGCGTAATGGATCACATCTTTTGTTCGGTCACCTTTTATTCTTGGGGTGTGACATTTTCTTTAAAAAAAATATATAAGATATGATATGTTTACAACACATGTGCCCGCACACATATATATAAAATAATAAAACACACTAAAAATATATTCTTGAATCTACTCATTTTGTCTTGAATATCACTTCTCCTTTTTTTTTTTAACAAAAAGTATTACTTCTCCTGTATCATATGAGATATTGAAATAAAATAAAATTAATTTACAGCAAAAAATTGTGGAAATAATTTAAATTAAACGGTAAAGTGTATTATCAAATACATAAAAAAAAATTTTTTGGAACCATAAAACACATTTTCTAAAAATTTTAATCTTTCATTTTATAATCAAATTATAAAAAGATATTAGGAATAAAAGATAAATATGATAATCTTTAACAATTTTAATTTCTTAAAAAATTATTGAAACTCTCAAATTCAAAGTATCAATACACATGAAAAGTAAAGAATATTTTTAATCGAAAATAATATCTTGATACATTACATATACACGTTGGATTTGACACTTATCAGTATCAAATACAATATTAACACAAATACATCAAGCAAATTTGAAGCATTGATGCTTCATAACTGATAGACAATCAATTTATTTTCTGGGAGATAAAAAGTTAGGAAAAAAAATATAAACGTGTCTTAGATAAAAAAAAATGATTATTTCATTTGTACCATTTACTTTTCAATCTTATATATTTAGAAGTTAATAACATTTGGGATATAAATCTTTTCATTTAAGACCTATATGTAATTATCCATTAAATTAAAATTCCATCCACCCTTTAACTAGGATCAAGACCTGTCCCCTGTTCGGTATCATGCAAGAGTTTTCCATGGGAGTAGAATTATTACAAATGGGAATGGAATTGGAAATACGTGTAACTTCATATATTATATTGAAGCAATTATGCATGTAAATTTAGGCCTAGAGTTGTGAAGAAGACCGATGAAAAGGTCAACTCAAATCTCAATTATATTGTTAATGAACGGGTCCAGCCATTGATTAATTCAATTAATCAATTAATTCCTCTTGTTGCAATCCAATTCACTTAATTATATACGCACATAAAAAAAGAGCAAGTACATGAAGTTGGAGCACGTCTTTCTTCGTTTTTTTTCTTCGCCAAAAAGTTGGAGCATGTGTTTCGTGAAAAGTCAACTGCGACATTGATCATAATTTAAAAAATTATAAACCCGGGAAGGGGTAGTTATTAATAAAGAACGGTTCAGACAAAGCAAGGAGGGATCAATACCAATTCAGAAAGGAATTAATATATTTGTTTTGATCAAGTCGAAACTAAAATACCAATTCAATAGTGGCAGGTCCTCCCTCCAACTATAAATAGATCACAACCACAAATGCATTTTGCCACAACAAATACACAATACAAAGAAATTAAGGTTTTGAGAATTCAGAGATGAACGGTTCATTAGTGATCTCTCTTTTTACCCTCTTGGCTTTGGCTTCCTCCTTTGCTTCTGCCTATGACCCCAGCCCTCTCCAAGACTTTTGTGTCGCTCTCAATGATACCAAACTCGGAGGTAAACACACACACGAAATATAATACCGTGCATATTGTATCTCTGGGATCTCCAAAAGTGACATATTGCTAAAAATGGAGCCTACTATTTTCTCTCTATATATCTCTCTTCACTTCAAAGATTGCTAATTGATTGTTCATGTGTCTGTGCTTTTGTGCAGTATTTGTGAATGGGGAATTCTGCAAAGATCCCAAGCTTGCCAAAGCAGAAGACTTCTTCTACCACGTAATGCCAGGGAACACATCCAACCCATTGGGCTCCAAAGTGACTCCAGTGGCTGTGAAAGAAATTCCAGGGCTCAACACTCTTGGTATCTCCCTTGCTCGTGTCGATTTTGCACCATACGGTTTGAATCCTCCCCACACTCACCCTCGCGGCACTGAGTTGTTGACCGTCATTGAAGGAACTCTCTTGGTTGGATTTGTGGCTTCCAATCAAAATGATAACCGCCTCTTCACCAAAGTCCTCAACAAAGGAGACGTGTTTGTGTTCCCTAATGGTCAGATTCACTTTCAACTCAATGTTGGGCATGGCAATGCTGTAGCCATTGCAGGTCTGAGCAGCCAAAATCCAGGAGTCATTACCATTGCTAATGCTTTGTTTAAATCCAATCCTCTCATCTCTCCTAAGGTTCTCACTAAAGCCTTCCAAGTTGACAAGAACATAATTGCTTATCTTCAAAAGCAATCTTGGTACAACAATAACTAAACAGACCATCCAGTACCCATCTGTAATTCTACTTCATATTTTGTGCTATGTAAAATGTGCTGTGATAAATAAATATGCATGATGCTGGCAGGCGGGCTTATGTTGTAACCTCAATTAAATATGATGCATGCAAAAGCAATTCTGTTTCCTCATGTAACTTCAATTATTTATTGGTTTAAATAAATAAGATGAATTTTGGTTTACACTGTACCTTGTTTTTTGTTTGAATTTGATTTGGCTTCCTCAACAAGTCATATATAGTGCGTACGCCAAAAAAAATTACACACAGTTTTGTGAACCCAACATTACGCTGAATGTAAGAGATGTCTAATTTATAAGCAGCTGAGGTGTAGTAAATGATACAGTCAACTTATAGGTCCATTAAAGTTTCCTCTGACAATAATGGCCTCGTTAGAGTTCATGGACTTTAAGTTAACACCCACATGCCTGCTATTGGGCCCCCATGAATCTTCGGAAAGTGTCAAACTCCACAGCAACAAAATGATGTTTTGCTGAGTTCAGTGTCTGGTCGCCGTCCACTGGACCTTTTGACAACAGGGTATGTTGTGCGTGTGACTTGAGGCCTAGAGTTGTGATGAAGGCCGACTACAAAATCAACTCAAATGTCAAAATTTAAATTCTGAAAATATTCAATCGATTTCCCTTATCAATTCCTCTCGTTTGTTTCCAATTATCTACTATATAATTCATACATACAAATAAACAAGGAATGACAAATAATTATGAAAAATGCCAAGGATCTTTTTAACAATTCAAATACCAAGAATTTAGATGTGAAATTCTTTATTTTACATTAACTTTTTTACATGGTGTTCAATTGCCGTTCCCTCTAAATAACTCGCAACTTAGCAATAGTATTTTGGTAAAAGAGCAAATTAGCTCATAAACTATAGGTTTAAAAGTTTTTAGGATCTTAAATTTATTTTTTGTTCAATGTTTCCCTTCAACCTTTTGAAATGGTGTAATTTGATCCCTACCGTTAATGAAAGTTAACTTCAGTTATTTATTGACCAAAAATGATTAAAAAATGACCTCAAATATTACAAAAAAGACCAAAAAATTATAATAAAAGATCCAAAAATTAAAGATGTGCAATGACCCAAAAATGTACATAAAAGGATCAATAAAATTTTATTGGTTATTTTCTATAATTTTTTAAAGCTCTTTTCTATTATCAACCATGTTGACTAATGGTTAAAATTAACTTTTGACAAATAGTTAAAATTAACTTTTATTAATGGTAGGGCTAGATTACATCATTTTTAAAAATGGGGGGACAATGTATAAAAAATAAATTTAGGATCCCAAACACTCATAAATATATAATTTATAGGTTAATTTACTCTTCTATCCATATTATTATGTTGTAATCCCTCCATCCCATATTATAAAATAATTTTGGAGAAGATTTATCATTCTAAAATATAAGACACATTGATAAGATTAAGATTTTATTAAATAGGTTTATTTCAATATTACTCTTTTTCTATCTCTATTTAATACTAATTAAGTGTATATTTAAGATTATTAAATGAAGAGCATTTTTGAAAGTTTATATTTTGTTTGAAAAAGACAAAGTTGTTAAATGTATTTAATAAAATTTATTAATATATAAAATTTTATTTAAAAATATTTTATAATTTAATATGGAGGGGGTATAATAAAGCACTGAGCGTCAATGAAAGAAGACAAGTTAAAATAACAAAATTTTATAAACCATGCATTGAATGGTAGTAGAAAGAAGGGGTCATGGGGTCATGCGCGTGTTTGAGAGATAAAGGAGAGAGACAGAGACAGTGACGTGAAGAAACCAATTGACATGATAATTATGGCTGCAGGTGAAGAAGACGACTGGGAGTTCACCAAATCTTAACTTGCTTCCGCCAAGGAATAAATCAATTACTGCGCCGGTCAAATTACTGAGACATTTTTTTTTTTAATCTAAACTTGGTCTGTAGAGGGCATTTAGTGCATGTTTGACATATAAAAAAATGTTTTTTAATAGAAATATATTTTGTATTGAATGGCATTCCTGAACTTTACATTTTCTTCCTCATTCTTGGTTATCTAAATTCCATTGTTATTCATGGCTCCAAATATATATATATATATATATATTCCTATTTCATTCATCTTCTATTACAAATCTTAATATTTTCAATTCTTTCCTTATGCACATGATTACTCCCTCCGTTTAAAAATATAAGATATTTTTTAAGAAGTTATATGTTAAAAAATATAAGGCATTTTTAATCTTTTGAGATATGATCATTACATTTTTTTTAAGTGCCCCATTGATAGTGACTTTATATTTATTATAGGGTGTTTTATAGGGATAAATATGAAAAAATAAGGTTTATTTAAAAGTAGGTAACTACTTTATTGGAGGTGAGATTCAGTTAAAAATACATTACTTTTTCAAACGGAAGGAGTATATATTTATATTTTGGAGAAATTTTTGCATGGACTTGGCGCGCAATGTCATCCATGCTCTATCCAATAAAATTACACTAATTTGATCTAATAAAATATTATATGTCATTATTTTTAAAGACTTTATTTTTAGAATTGAATGCCTATTTAATTTTTTTAACCTTTTCTCTTTTTATTATTATTAACGGCACAACCAATTTAATTATATTTATAGCAATCTAAATGACATATTTTTATTGAATGGAATATAAATGATGTGGTACACCGCGTATGTTTTACTTTATTACTATTAACTACTCTCTCTATCCTAAATTATAGGTGCTTTTGAAGAATTTTTTTCATCTCAAAATATAAAACACTTTGAGTAGATTAATATTTTATTAAATGCACTAATTTTAATATTACCCTTTCTCTCTCTATAATTAATTTTCATCTCTTCTTTTTTTAATATATTTAACAATGGGCATTTTTGAAAGTTTATATTTTTATTTTAGAAAGATAAAGTTGTTAATTAAGTGTATTTCATGAGGTTTATTGGTATGTTAAATTTTACCTAAAAATGTTTTATAATTTGAAACAGAGGGAGTATAATGTATTTGAGTGAGATTATAATTTATTTTTTGTTGCTGATAGAGAGAAAATTGACGATTGGCGCCATCCAAAACCAAAAGTGATCAATTCAAGACAGGAAATGAACTTCCAAAAGAGGAAGGGAAGAAACATATTTAAATTATATATATAATGTCCACCTTTTAAAATTTTTCTTATTTTTCTTTTGAGCACCCTTGCTGATAGATTTTCCCATATGTTTCTTTCTTTAGTCTTTACATCATTTTCTTCATATTCATACAAGTAATATTTATTAAAAGTAATTGTGTGTGTATTTAATTTCATATTTTATGTAATTAAATTTTTAGCCGAGGCCAAAAAATTATTGGTTTGATCCTGAAATTGCATTTATTTTAAGCTCTCCACATGTTTAACTTTAAAGAGGTTCAATCCTTTTTGGGGATTTAGTCGATGTGGGCTGTCTAACGAAATGCCGGCATTCGTGCGTAACTTGAGAGGCCCAGAGTTGTGAAGAAGGCTGATGAAAAATCAACTCAAATGTCAAATTTGATTAAAATTTTGAATATATTCAATTGATTTCCCGTATTAATTCCTCTCAAACCAGTCATCTGCCTTATAAATATAAATGATACATACAAATAAACAAGAAATGACAAATAATTAAGGACCTATGAAAAATACTAAGGATATTTTTTACAATTCAATTATCAAGAATTTATAAGTGAAAGTCTTTATTTCATATTAATTTTTTTGCATGGTGTTTGAATGCCGTTCTCTCTAAATAAAAACAACTTAACAATAAGGGAAAGAGAGTAAATTAACTTTTAAATTATAAGTTCATAAGTATCTGAAATTCTAAACTTATTTTTTGTATAATGTTTTTCCTCAATTTTTCTTAAAATAGTGCAATTTGGCTTTAGTTATTAATAAAAGTTAACTTTTTGATTGTTAGTTAACCAAAAAATAACCTCAAAAATATAAAAAAGATCAAAAAATTACGGACAATAACCCATAAATTTAAATTAAAGGATCAAGAAATTTATATTGGTAATTTTCTATAATTTTTTATGTCTTTTTTCTACCTAACTAACAGTCAAAGTTAATTTTTATCAGCAATAAGCGTTAGATTGTACTATTTTTAAAAGTTAAAGAAAAATATTACATAAAAAAATGAGTTTAGGATCCTATTAAATACTTGAATCTATAATTTAGGAATTAATTTATTCGTTTACCCATATTATTATGTTGTGTAATATAGCACTGAGCGTCAATGAAAGAAGAAAAGTTAAAATAATCAAAATTTATAAACTATGCATTGAATACTAGAAAGAAAGGGTCATGGGGGTGTTTGAAACATTTTGGTCTTTTTGTTTGGGGGGGGGGGGGGACCGAGACAGAGATGTGAATAAGACTGAAAGACTCCACCAAATCTTAACTTGCTTCCTCCAATAAAAAAACATTTTTCTACCTATCAAAAAACCATTAAACATTTCTTCTCACAAATTTTCATAATAATAAGAAGGTTAAGAGCAAAAGACATATTAAATTCTCACAAATCATCAAAAAACACTTTTCTACAAAAACATGCTATTTTTCATGGAAATAATGCAACAACTATTTTTATTAGTACGTGAAATATAGTTTGGAGTGTTTTACAATTTGGACTGGTTCGAGAAAGTATATAACAAACACACACCACACCATCCCTAATTTTAACCTTATTTTATTAATTGTATGTAATATATAAGAGGATTTGGACGCCACCCGCTCCAGGCTATATCAAAAAAGAGACAATGGTGGTGAGAGACTATCATGAACAAATATGAAAAAATGAATCAGATACAATACATATATTGTTATTTTAAAAAATATAAGATATGATAAGTTTACGACATATGTGCATGCGCACATATATATAATCATAAAATACACTAAAAATATATTATTGAATCTAATCATTTTGTCTTGAATATTACGTCTCCTATATCATATAAGATATTGAAATAAAATAAAATTAATTTACAAATTAATTTACAACAAAAAATGTGGAAATAATTTAAATTAAACAGTAAAATGTATTATCAAATACATAAAAAAATTTATTTTTGGAACCATAAAAAAATATTTTCTAAAAGAATTTAATGTTTGATTTTAGAATAAAATTATAAAA